TGGAGAAAGCCGGGCTTCAGTGCTTCTCTTCATTCATCTATTTTTTTTTTTTTTGAGACGCCGAGCTCCTTCGCTCTGTGGCCCCCCCAGGCCTGGAGTGCAGTGCGCTATCCTCGGGCCTCACTGCAAGCCTCCGGGGCCCCCCCCGGGTTCCGGCCATTTCTCCTGGCCCCCCTCAGCCTCCCCGAGCTAGCTGGACTTACAGGCCGGCCACCACCTCGGCCCCCAGGCTAATTTTCTCTGTATTTTTAGTAGAGGACCAGCTGTTTCACCGTGTTAGCCAGGATGGTCTCGATCTCCTGACCTCGTGATCCGCCCGTCTCGGCCTCCCAAAGTGCTGGGATTACAGGCTTGAGCCACCGCGCCCGGCCTCGAGCAGGCCTTTCTGAGGACAGCAGTCAGGCCTGCTGTGTTAAACACTGTTCTCTGTGGGCCAAAAGCATTTCCTAAGTATTTTTCTGTCTTTAGTACCCAATAGTAATTCTAATTAGATTATGACTGTTTTGATATCTGGAGGAGACCGATTGGAGACAGGACGGATGTGGGGCACTCAGCCTTTCTCCTCCCTTCCCCTCTGTTGGGCATCCCATTTCCTGTGCAGTCCCTGGTCTGCCCTCATCCACTCCAGCACGACGTGGTGTCAGAGGCTGCAGGAACCAGAATTAAGTCAGGATAAGGAGGGCCCACGCCCTGGACTTGTCTACCCCCTGAGCCAGGCTGTGGGGTTCCCAGTTAGTGGAGGGATGGCTGGTTACTTGCCATGCCCACATCGGGCTTGCTACTGGGGCTCACCTGCTTCTCCCGTGTCCAGGGTTCAACTCTGCCACCAACATCGTGGTGTTGGCTGGCACCAACCGCCCTGACATCCTGGACCCAGCCCTGATGCGGCCTGGCCGATTTGATCGCCAGATTTACATTGGTGAGTGCCCCTTTCTCAGGGTTGGGCCTTTATCCCCTTGGCCGCAAAGTTTGTTTAGGTGATTTACAGTGTATTTGGAGGAGATTTTGATGGTAATTCTGAAGCAGTTAATGTAACATTTTGAAAATGTGTGAGAGCCACAAGTTGCTGCCGTCAGTCCTGCCCCTGGCAGTCCACTTTTTGGCAAGAATACGTGCGATCGGGCCTGCAGGGATGTTTTTTTTTTTCACTACTGTAAAAATTTGATAATTGGTCAAGTGTGGTGGCTCACGTCTGTAATCCCAGCTCTTTTGGAGGCTGAGGCTGGCGGATCAGGAGGTCAGGAGTTCGAGACCAGCCTGGCCCATGTGGTGAGACCCTGTCTCTACTGAAAATACAAAATTAGCTGGGTGTGGTGGCGTGCACCTGTAATCCTAGCTACTTGAAGGCTGAGTCAGGAGAATCGCTTGAACCTGGGGGGCAGAGGTTGCGGTGAGCGGAGATCTCACCACTGCACTCCACCCTGGGCAACAAGAGCGAAACTCTGTCTCAGAAACAATAAATAAATGAAAAAATTGAAAATTGATAATTTAGAAGACAGCAGTTTACCCCTTACTCTTCACCCTGACGGTCAGCCATCATCGCCTTCCCCCTCCCTTCTCGTGTTTGTTAGGAAGCGTTAATTCCCTGTGGCCCTTGTGTTTAATTCCCTGTGGCCCTTGTGTTGCTTGCTGTCAAGTGGCATGGCCCTGGGTTGAGGGGTGCTGTCAAGTGGCATGGCCCTGGGTTGAGGGGTGTAGTCGAGTGGCGTGGCCCTGGGTTGAGGGGTGTAGTCGAGTGGCGTGGCCCTGGGTTGAGGGGTGTAGTCGAGTGAGCGTGGCCCTGGGTTTGAGGGGGGTTATCGAGTGGCGTTGGCCTGGGTTGAGGGTTGCTGTCAAGTGGCGCGGGCCCTGGCGTGGACGGGGTGTTATCGAGTGGCGTGGCCCTGGGTTGAGGGGTGTAGTCGAGTGGCGTGGCCCTGGGTTGAGGGGTGTAGTCGAGTGGCGTGGCCCTGGGTTGAGGGGTGTCGTAGCTGTGGAGCTGGATGTGCCTGTGCCCTGGCTGGTTTCTGCCATTGCTTTCAGCTCTGTCTGGAGGATGACAGCAGAGAGCTCTACAGGGACCCCAGCTGTCCTTGCAGTTCTGTGATATGGTTGTGGGCGACTGTTCTGAAGACCAAGAAGGCACAAGAGCCCGTGCCTCTCTCTCTGTTTCATTAGGCCCCCCTGACATCAAAGGCAGGTCCTCCATCTTTAAGGTCCACCTGCGCCCACTGAAGCTGGACGAGAGCCTCGATAAGGACACCCTGGCTAGGAAGCTGGCAGCGCTCACCCCAGGCTTCACTGGTGAGTGTTGGGGGCTGTGCCGTCCCCTTGTGGTGGGAGCCATGTATGCTCTGCTTCTTGTCATGGGGAGTGGGGACTGGCCCTTCTCATCCAGTTCTGGCAGTGCTCACCCTTGTCTGCAGGACTTTTCACCTGTTGAGAGTGTTCAGAGGCCTCAGAGATCAGTTTTCTTAGCCCCAAAACTAATTTGCACCCACCTGAATTTTTGTTTTAATTACAGTCAGACTTAGTGAGTCTTACCGCAGAGCTGACAGTAAGCTAATGTCGGGGGGTGGGGTGGGGGAGGATCTGGCAACTTGATGCTTCCCTCCACGTTTTCGCCTGGAGCTTGCCCTCCCTGCTGAGGGAGCTCATTTGATTTTCTCTCTTCTTTTTAATGAAATCCTGGTCTATGCTAGGAAACCTACTTCCCTGCCTAGGCTGGATCACCCTCAGGAATGAGTGGGGACTTCTCCGGGGGATTCCTGTCCTGCTTACCCATACTTCACGGTTATGCGGCCATTGGCCACGGCCTCTGACCTATGCCCACCTGCTCCCACCACCCCTGGAACATTCTGCTGTGGCATCTCATCACCTCCAGCTGCCTTGGCACCCCCAGTGGTACCCATCCCCTAGGCTCCCCAGTGTCCTGCCTAGTGTCAGGTCAGGTGTATTCACACAGGATTGTACATTTGTCTGCTGCAGAATGGTGAGTGAGGTCTTGCCTGGCAGGCATCTGAAGGGTGTCATGTGTCTTAGACACAAAATGTGCTTCTTTCCTTTTGTTCTCTCCTCTGGCTGACTTCAGATGTCTGTTTACATACCAAAGATAAAATGCTGGAATGTTACCAAGACTGCTTTCTTGTGCCCCTAGAGGGGATGACACAGCAGGGATGAATCAGCACTACCCCTCAGCAGGGATGCCTGATGACTCTGACTGCCCCTCAGCAGGGATTACTAAGCACTAGCCCTTAACAAAGGTGACTCAGCAGGGATGACTCAACAGGGATGACTCAGCAGAGATGACTCAGCAGGGATAGCTCATTACTGCCCCTGAACACGGATGACTCAGCAGGGATGACTCAGCACTGCTCCTCCACAGGGATGACTCAGCAAGGATGACTTAGCATTGCCCCTCAACAGGGATGACTCAGCAGGGATGATTCAGCAGAGATGACAGCACTGTGCCTCAGCAGGGATGACTCAGCAGGGATGGCTCAGCACTGCCCCTCAACAGGGATGACTCAGCACTGCCCAACAGGGATGACTCAGCAGGGATGACTCAGCACTGCCCCTCAACAGGGATGACTCAGCAGGGATGACTCAGCA